TCACGTGATCATGGGGACACTGCGACAGTTGCAAGTTCGTGGACCCATCGTAAGTCTCCTTTTTCAGTGTCGTCATAACTTTGAGTGGTCACTGAATGAGCGGTCAGTAAGTGAGGACCCACCGTATCTCAATTGCTGATGCCTAATGTGTCATTGTGTAGTTGATTCATTCCATCTTTCAGTGTTGAGCTTTCCCATGTTCAGGCGTCTTACGTCCCATGCTCCCACTGTAGTTCTGTCTTTGCAGCTTCAGATTTTGTTGTCCTGTATGACAACATCAGCAACTAGACATCCCAAAGTTTTTAATCTTATAAAACTCCATTAATACTCTGAAAGATCCTCAGCTCTTCCCCAGTAGCGTGTTGAATGCCTTCCCACCTAAGGTGCCCATCATCCGGTATTGTATCCTCAGTCGCTTTACCTTGTCTGTCCACATTGTTTTCTTGGTAAAGTACAGGAGTGGCTTACATGACCTTCTCCCACCTTTGCCATCGTCACTAAAGCCATCGTCCACCTCCAGCATCTTCCTGCCTTGCTGCTGCTGGATGTAGGGCCCAGCTTGCTTTGGCTGGGCAGCTGGGATGACCATCAGGCCTTGGGATTACCTACTCTCAGCAAACACTCCTGGTGTCTTGGCTCGCCCCTCGCAGGAAACCTCTCCCCCCATGCCACGAGGAGGCAGTACAGCAGGACTTGGGGCGGCAAAGCATATCACGCCAGCCTGCTTTTCTGTCATGACGAAGAGCGCTTATCGAGATCTGTCATGTGACCCAACGTTGCTTTCTTCAGGTCAATGTTATTAATTGTAGCTTTGGGAAAAATATCAGGTTCAAGTCAAGATAATGGATGGGGATTCTGAGAAGCAGCCTGTTTTCTCTGAGATGTTTTTAAAAGGGAAAGGTAAACTCTTCCTGGAACACGTTTGTCTCCTGCTGACAATCTGGATATGTTTTCTTACAGCCGAATGGAAGTTGTTGGCTGCTGCCTTCTTCCAGGATGTTTTCTTGACTTTCCAGTCCACCCTCCAGCCCTGGATTTCTCTGGAGGTCTCCCATCCAAGTATGAAGCAGGTCTGACCCTGCTTAGCTTCCAACCCCAGACAAAGCCACCTTTTGCCACCACTCTGTTCTCCCTCTACTCAGGTTTTTCCAATTTTACAGCGGCCAAACTCTCTGCCTAACTCAGTGTTTCTCAGCCTTGGCAACTTTAAGAAGTGTGGACTTCAACTCCCAGAATTCCCCAGCTAGCATGCTGTTGTAACAGAATACAGGTAGTCCACGCTTAATAACCACAATAGGGACTGGGAAATTAGGTGTTAAGCTGGGTGGTTGTTAAACGAGTCATGCCCAATTTTACAACCTTTTTTGCAGCAACCATTAAGTGTGTCACCGTGGCTGTTAAGCAAATCACATGGTTGTTAAGTAAATCACATGGTTGTTAAGCAAATCACGCAGTTCCCCATTGATTTTGTTTGCTGGAAGCCAGCTGGAAAGATCACAAATGGTGATCACGTGACCCTAGGACGCTGCAACTGTCCTAAGTGCGAGCTGGTTGCCAAGCACCCAGATTGCGATCACATGACCGTTGGGGTGCTGCGATGTTTGTAGATGCAAAGACTGGTTGTAAGTCCCTTTGTTCAGCATCGTTGTAACTTCGAACAGTCACTGAATGAATGGTTGTTAAGTGAGGACTACCCGTATTGCAAGCCTGGCTATGTTTTCCCTTCCCTCCCTCTTATACCCCAGGAAGTCAGCGGGGAGTCAGTCTGAGTCTCTTCCTAATGTTTTTCATTTCCCAGGCTGAAAGCATGATTTTGCACTTACTGTTATAGCCATCTCTGTACACTTTCTGCCAGACCATCTCCATGGATCCCTACACCTAAGCAGGAAAGGAAAACACCAGCCCACTCTCTCTTGGGTTGGCCAGCAGTTGAAATTCTAAAATAGACTGCCTGTGATAGTGGAGGTGCTTTAGAGACGTTATGATTAGTAGTCGCTGGTCATCTCTCTGAATTTATGTAATCCTCTCAAGACATCTAAGTGGAAACTCTCACTAGAGCTCCTTCCCTGAAATCTTGGTGAAGAATTTCTTCCTCTCTTCTGCCCTGAATCTCCCACATTGGAAGGAATCTCTCCTGTTGGAGGAACCCAAAACTTGGTAATATGAGAGAAGTATTTCTTCCTATCTCTCTCCCCATCCACAAATGGAGTATTCATTCACCAAGCCTATCGCTTGCTCTCTTTCTGAACAAAGCATCTCTCCATGTAATAACCTTTTCTCGTACCTGAATTGCTCCAACACCCTAAATCCAAGGCTCAGTAACATTTCTAAGCATGCTCTCTGGGCCCCAAATGAAATAAAAATAAGATGGCCAGCATTTTAAGAAGCTAATTCCAGAGATCTTGCAAGATGGTGCAGTTCAAGGCTCAATTCTTGGCGGATCTGGCCACCTTGGGTGGTTTCAACCATCTTTTTGTAAAAAGTATTTGGGGGTTCCTGTTTGTATATTTTGTACCCATGGGTATAGTGTAGCCAACCCTTGTCCTAATCGTTCAGGATATTCCACATGTTTTCCAGATGTAGCAATTAGAGCTAGTTTGGTATAGTGGTTAAAGATATCAGGTTAGAAATTAGGAGACCCTGAGTTCTAGGCCTTCCTTAGGCACAAAGCCAGCTGGGTATCTTTGGGCCAGTCCCTCTCTCTCAGCCCTAGGAAGGAGAAGACAAGGGCAAATGGCTCCTGAAAATGTTGCCAAGGAAACTGCAGGACTAGTCCATATAGTTGCCATGATTCAAGACTGATTTGAGGGCACAAATCTCCCCCTCCAAAAACACGTACTCACTGTATTATAAATTGGGCCGAATTGCATTGCAGCCTTTCTAAATTCAGCTTCCGTTTTCTTCATTCCAGAAAATAAGGAATTGATGGGGGAGGACTCTGCTGTTTTGCAGCTGGATCATTCTGAGAAAGTGGAGTCTTTAGAAGAAAACAGAGCAGACTTTGAAGCCCCTCTAGGTGAGGCTGGCCAGGAAAAGCCCGCTCCTCTTAGCCTCAAACCACACAAATGTTCTGAATGTGGGAAAAGGTTCCATCAGATCTCCCATCTCAATCGGCACTTGAGGATCCACACTGGAGAGAAGCCCTACAAGTGCTTGGATTGTGGGAAGAGCTTCACGCAGGGTTCCTGTCTGCTGGGCCACCAGAGGATCCACACGGGGGAGAAAGCCTACTCATGTTCGTACTGCGACAAAAGCTTCATCTGGAGCTCCGGCCTGCACCAGCACGAGAAGATCCACCTGGGAGAGAAGCCGTACAAATGCCTGGAGTGTGGGAAGAGCTTCCACCGGAGTTCAGCCCTCACGGACCACGTGAGGTCCCACACGGGGGAGAAACCGTACACCTGCTCTGACTGCGGGAAAGGGTTTAGCCAGCATTCCAACCTCATTGTGCATCGGAGGGTCCACACGGGGGAGAAACCCTACCCCTGCTCCGTCTGCGGGAAGAGCTTCACCCGGACAGCGCTGCTGATGGCGCATCTCCGGATCCACACGGGAGAGAAGCCGTACAAATGCCTGGTCTGTGAGAGGAGCTTCCGGGAGAGACCCGCTCTTACCAAACATAAGAAAATCCACATGCGGGAAAATCCATAACGTGGCTGCATTGGGAAGGGAACATTTATCTTGGCTCTCTTGTCCTGCCTATTGGCGGTTTCCCCAAACTTCGGCACTTCAGACATTCCATCGTCACTGGCCAATGGGGCTGGTTCTGTTCTGCCATAGGCTGGAACTCCTGTGATGTCACAGAATGCATTCAGATTGGTGAGAAGCAAACTGATGGGCAGAAAGTGAAAGGGACAAAAAATGTAGTCCAGCTGAGAATGCAGAAGTAGAAACATGGAGCCATCAGAGGGTGAATAAGGAAGGTTTTGTCATTTTTTTTCCTCGTTGGGGACGTGTGTATGAGGGATGTGGGCCCAGGGAACGAAAGGGGAAATGATGCCACCCAGGAGATGAATTTCACATACTCGGTGACCTTTAACCAGTCACTTCTGTAATTACAGGTTGCCTATACCAAGATTTGATGAGAAAGTGGTCCTTCTGAAGTGCAATATGAAGTCCATCTCTAGTGTTTTTCCCTAGAGGAGATATCTTTCTGAGCGTTGTTTTCCTAGTGATCTCATTTCGAATTCTCCCATAACTGACATAGGTTTTTGGAAATATCCATGTCCTGAAGTCAATTTTGAGTAAAATACAGAAAAGCAACATACGATGGGCAGGTATCTCCTGGTTCCTTCCAACCCGATATTCCTTTTTCAATAACCTGTTGTCATATTTGCTGCAAAATCAAGGTGTGGGGTGGAGAAGGATGCCTCTATGGGGTCCGCAGCCTGCAGGGGAAAGCTTCAGTCGACGTTTTGAGGCAGAAATTCACACATAAACTTGGCTGGCCTCCAGGCTCAGCAGTATGGGGCCCCTGCTGTAGTCCCTCTGCTTTGAGATGCCTAATCCTGCTGCTGACCGATACCTCCCTGACTCCTTTAACTTGACATGCCTAAAGAAATAAACCTTATTATCACATAATGTGGTTCATAAGACCTGCTCAAGGTCCCGGTTGAGTTTTCTACCACACCCTGGACCACAGACTGCCAAGTATCATTTTAACCTGATCTGCTGGGTTGTATTGTGTGAACTCAGCCTCAATAGTTCTACGCCCTATTGGTTCTCTCCAGAACCTTGCACTGAAAGATACACAATATCTGTACCTGGAAGTTCCATTCATATTTACCATAGTTCCCTGCTGCTAAGAATTCCCCCCATGAGTTGATCCAACTCTTTATCCCAGGGGTGGGCCTCTGAAAATGTGGGATTCATTTCATGCTGCCTGAGAAATGGGAGAGCAAAGGGCCTGGTTTGAAGCCATAGCATCAGCTTTCCACCAGAGCCAACCGAAGGGCTCTATCAAGTCCATCTAGAAATGAAAACTTCCCATGTACTGAAAGATGAGACACTGCCATGTTTTGATCATACAGGCATGACCTCCATCTTGACTTTTTTGACTTATTGCTGGTCTCTTCCTCTCCCAATCCATTGTGTCCATTCCCCCCCCCCCTTAAGGGACCCTACAATTAAAATGAAAATGCAATTAAAAATCTTGCAGAAGAAGAAGGCATTATTTGTAAAAGAAATTTCCAAGCTTACCAAAATGGGTGTGTCTTAAATACGGATGAGAGAAATACCCAACTCGATACTGTACTCCAACTCCCATCATCCCTGAACATCAGTCATATGGATTGGGACTGACAAGAGCTGAAGTCCGGTTGGATCCACCAAAAGTTTATAAGAACGAAGGCAAAATGCAAATTTTCAAGGAACGCTGACAACCATTCTAGTGAATTTTGGACATGTCAAGTTTCGTAGTTTTTGTGAAGCAAAACTTTGCTGGTTTTCATTCCTGGATATGAATGGGGACTGTGTTTCATTAATAAATTTATAACGGAATATTTGTAAGCTCTTGAAAACATCTCTTTTTCTTTCTGCCATGAAATGTCGGAGATTTGAATTCAGCAGAGATGTAGGGGCGAAGATGTGCTCCTGAACATCAGCAGAGTGTTGAAATAATACTGTGTAATTTATTAGCAGAACTTCCTATTAAAACATTAAATCAGCATTTCTCAACCTTGATAACTTTAAGATGTGTGGACTTCAACTCCCAGAATTGTTGTTCCTTATGCCCTTTGTGTGTGTGTGTGGGGGGGGGAGGAAATAGAAACTGAATTAAACCTTTGCCAACTAACCAAAACATCTACCAAAGTCAAACATATGAAGGAATAAAATAGAGGATCAATTTCGTTGTCCCTCCCACAAAATAAGAATTTATCTTGATAAATAAAAATGCATGGAGCAAGTTCTCTTTTTGGCTTGCTAAAATGCTGGGCCAGTTGAAGAAAGGCCAGCTGGTCTGCTCTTTGCAAAGATGGCCACTCTGGTAACAACACCAAAACAAGGGACCACTTCTCCCTTTGCCAAGATGGCTGTGCTTTAGGCCGCTTGTATGGAGGAAACCGACTTGCCATTTTGCAAAACGGCCACACAAGCACCCACAGGGTTGCCCTTCTTCAAGATGGTTTCTGCAGAAGCACCTGCCAGTAGGGAATTCTGGGAGTTGAAGTCCATGCATCTTAAAGTTACAAAGGTTGAGAAACACTGCAGCCTAGCCAAATAAAAGGGCAGGATGGACACACTTTGGTAACACAATGCCTGCCTTTTTACACATGACTTTTCTCATGCATATGCACCTTGCTGTTCTCACCTGCAGGTCATCACAGGTGGGACTCTTTAATGACAAACCCTGATCTCTTGCTGCGTCATGCGTGAATGGGTCTGAGAGACTGTGAAAGAGAGATGTGCGTTTAAGACTGAGAAGTAGGAGGGAAGAAGCCACACAAACATGCCAATGAATATCAGCTGCAGTGATACTAGCAGTATAGTGTAACACCAGCAAGGTGCAGTGTCTTTAGGAGAGGAATTTACCATTTAAAATCCAACACTAAGGAAATTGAAAAAGGGGAAAGGAGATTGCCCGTACCCTTTATGAGGAGGATGCACTGGAACCAGGGAGCTGCTCCTAGCTGTCATGCCCTCCAGATGTTTTGATTAACTACAATTCCCAGCATCCTTCATTGTTACCTGTGCTGCTTGGGCTGCTGGGAAATGTAGTTGAACAACTTCTAGGCGGCTAGTGATTCTCTACTAGGAAATCATAGGGGAGAGCCTTGTTAGTCGAGGGCAGTGTTTCTCAACCTCGGCAACTTGAAGATGTGTGGACATCAACTCCCAGAATTCCCCAGCCAGCATGGCTGGCTGGGGAATTCTG